CCAAGGCCACAGGATTTTTTAATAAAGGCATTTATCATATAACAAATAAGACCAGTCTCTCACAGGGGTGGGGGGCTACAGCGCTTCGACAGCCCCCATAGCCCTTCTCCTTGACTACCCTGCCCCCCCAAAATGGTCTGTGAATGTCATAGAGACTTGAGACTTGGGGGGGGTCCAAAGGTCAGGCGGTGGTTATGGCGATAGCCGATGCCTCAAGGCATATAAGTGTGGGGGGGCTGTGGTCACGCATTCAACTCACCATGGAGTGGGACCTAGGCAGGGTCCACACGGCCCAGCTGACCAGAACCAGACCCATGATAACACATGTTCTGGTGACCCAGAGGGTGCGCGACAAGCATCGGCCCTAGGCACCTGAAGTCACACTAAAGATTTTAACGACTGATCGGGGCAGAGAAAGAGCCCCCCCCCCAAAATTACCACAGTGGTAATAGCCCCACCCACTGTTAAAGATAAATCGTAATAAATGTCAGTGCCACAAACACTTATTTAATCACGTCTGCCCTGAGGCTGGAGACAACAGCTGTGTACAATGTGGCCGCAGCATGAGATTGCTTTCTTTCGGGGGCGTAGGGAAGTGCGGGAGGGGCACGCAGCCCCCACTCAAATAAAAACTGGATAAATATTCCTCAGAAATGAAGTGATCCTAGACAACAGCCTCCATAAATTCCCACGTCCACCGAGCCTTTACTACACAATAAATCCCCACAGATAAGGGTGGGATTCATCAGGGGGTACGGTTACTGGGAGGGACACAGGGGCGCAGAGCTGTCACTGTCGAGATTCCGCAACAAAGACCGTGATGACATCAGCAGAAGCCCAAAGCCACGGGAATAACCATGACAATTCAACATAGGAACCCTAATCTGTCAGGAATGTTATTTTTAAACGGGAGTTAGAGTGTGGATGAAACGGAGGGGGAGTATATCCAAACACACAGCACAAAGGGAGGTCAGGAATAAAGCCGTCAGCCGAGGAAATCGGTTTGTCGCCCTGGAACGGGAGAAAGCGTCAGCGAGGAGCTCTTGCTGTGTCTGGATTAGAGCTGAGCAGAGCGGGTGCCAAGGGGGCGAGGCAATGGCGGAGGGGGGCGAGGCAATGGCGGAGGGGGGCGAGGCAATGGCAGAGGGGGTGGGGGGGCGAGGCAATGGCGGAGGGGGTGAGATGAAAAACAGTTGCTAGAAAACAGCACGGGCACATCTGGCCAAAATGTCAGACACAACATGTGGGTCAGCTGACAACCTAAAGGGGGCGCCAGCTCTGTTATCACCGCCGGCTCCACCCACCAGCCTTAAATCTCACCAGTCTGGTTCCTTCAGTAGCTTACCATCTCAGTCTGTCATGCCACACCTCCCCCTTTCCCCTCATGACGCCATGGGGGGGCAGTGGCCATTTCAAAGGAACAACCCCAATGACATGCTTTGATTTATGCCGCGTTCCATTTGAACTCGGAGGTCTGATATTCTGAGTTCCTAGTTGGAAATTTCAACTGGAACACCCCTGAAAAATCAGAATTCCAACTTGGAAAGTTGGAGGAACTTCTGCGACCCCTACCACAGAATTCAAGATGGCTGCTCCCTTTATCAACAGAAGTGAAAGCTGTAGTTATATACTGTTTATTAGCCCTTATGTCTTATCTGTGTTTCATTACATAGGCCATACACACAGCATTATCCAACTGCTATCTGTGGACATGTTGCTACAGTGTTTATATGCGAAAAATACTGCATTATGTGTTGCTATCAACTGATATTGCTAGCAAGAGGTAACAATGAACCTGGATAGAACTGGGGCCTGTTCCAGATAGCAGGAGTTCTTGCTAGCTGGATAACTTGTCAGATTTAATGTAGTATGGGCAAACAGGACATATAAACTGCAGTACCTTACATCTGACAAGTTATCCAGCTAAGCAAGAAACCTGACTTTTTGAAAATCGGTGCCTGGCTTTGCTGAATGGCTTTCCAACTTGTTGTTACTGGAACGTGTTTAATTTGGCTGAGTCGTCATTCCCCGCTCCGACGTCTGACCTCCGAGGTAAAGGGAACGCTGCATTAGACCAGCGGTGGCTCCAAAAAAAAAAAAAAGAAAGCGGAGGAGCGCTTGGGTTCCGAGACCTTGCATGTCACGGCCCCCCGCAGCTAACAAGCACATGGTCTGAATCAGGCAGCCTGAACGTGACACATTTACAGGAGGCACTCGGTTGTTCTGCAGGTTTCCAAATCCATCCAAACAGCCACTTCTCAAAGAAAGATACACAGAGGCCACCTGAGGAGAGACCCTAACCCCACCCCAGATGGGGCCGGTCCCCTAGCTTAAAATTTTACACTGGCTAAGGCACAGCTCTGTGGCTAAGGCACAGCACTGGTGTAATTACACAGCGTCGGGGTCACACAGTCTCTCTGTGGCTAAGGCACAGCGCTGGTGTAATTACACAGCGTCGGGGTCACACAGTCTCTCTGTGGCTAAGGCACAGCTCTGGTGTAATTACACAGCGTCGGGGTCACACAGTCTCTCTGTGGTTAAGGCACAGCGCTGGTGTAATTACACAGCGTCGGGGTCACACAGTCTCTCTGTGGTTAAGGCACAGCGCTGGTGTAATTACACGGCATTGGAACAGGTGTATTGTGCATTTAAATCTCTGACAGGTGTATCCATTTACATTTCTCCATCTCTCCAAATCGGTGCCACAACTAAAAACTGTTTGAGTGTTTTCGATTAACATCCAGCGGGCCCCCCTCCATGTAGGTGGCCCAGTTCAGCTCTGTGCGGTGCAGCTTTAACAGGTCCAGCCGCCTGGGCCGGATTCCCCAAAATGGTAGCCATGTCAGGTCTCCCCGTGCAGAATGGGTTAATGATTCATTCATGCAGATCATACCTACCCAGAGAGTCACTGAAATATCCTGAGAGGATTGTGTGCCTGAGCACGAACCATATGGAGTGTGTGTGTGTGTGTGTGTGTGCACACATCTGTAAGAAAGTGTGTGTGTGTGTGTGTGTATATGACAGTCGCTGCGAGTGTGTCCGTGAGTGTGCCCACCAGCCTCGGAGTCTCTGATCTGGTTGTTTACATCGAGTCGATTTTTTCCGTTTGTGTGCCAGTCCAGGCCAAAAAGTGGGGCACTCCACCTCTACCCTTCACCTGGGCATCATGCCACAGCCCCCCCCCCCCCCACCATCCTGACAAAGATGTATTTAGTTGTATTTTGTTATCAGGGTGATCGTCCGTCAGGGGCCGGCTAAGGGGGCCACCTCCACAGTAAACATCCCAGAGCAGGGAGCCAAGACGAACATCTGCTGTTCCTGGAGATATGACCTTATGCAAACCCCACCCACCCCACCCCGGACTTGGACCTGGATGGACACACACCTCTCCCCATATGACTTCATGTTCCACTATTATTTTGAAGCTCATGGAGAATGCTAGATAGATGGGCCTCCAATGTTTAAAAACTCACATAAAAATGAACACGCAAAGAGCAAAGTAGCGTCTCCTTACATTTAATCTCATTTAAAGACCCGCGACACTAATCCACTTGGAGCATAAAATAATCAGGGACTGTCCAGGGTGAGCATTACCCCCCCCCCCCCCCCCCCATCTAACCCTTACTCCCCCCACACTCACCAACCTGTACAATCTGTAAAAGTGCTGAATGAATCAACTGGAAAAGTGAAAGCCAATTAACGTGCTTTTTCCTGAATG